CTAGTCCCCAATCCCCTAAAAGACACAAGAACAGAAAACCAAACACTGATGTAAACTTTCTTAAATTTTTCTTTCAATTCCTTCAGTGCATCCCACACCAATCCAGGCAGTTTCAAGATAAAAGAAACATTCTTAGGATGAATGACGAATTAAGATATTTCACCTGACTTTCATCAAATTATAAAGTCTCTACCCAAAGCCATTTATGCCTGTGTGGTTGTAAATAGATACCTAACATTTCACTGCAATGAGTCATCTAAAATGAATGAAGAATTTTGGTTCAGAGTGTCTGACGTCAAGTACGGGCTGTAAAGGATGTTGTTCGTTTTGTCACCTCAGACATTCCAATGGTCCTGTGACTCACTGTCTGTCTCACTTGTGTGCTTGTGCCACTTTGTCTTTTTCCTTATTAAAGTAAAAACCAGATCCTGAGGCCAGGTGTGGTGGCCCAAGCCTGTAATCCCAGCACTTTGGGAGGCCGAGGCGGGTGGATCACGAGGTCAAGAGATCGAGACCATCCTGGTCAACATGGTGAAACCCCGTCTCTACTAAAAATACAAAAAATCAGCTGAGCATCGTGGCGCATGCCTGTAATCCCAGCTACTCAGGAGGCTGAGGCAGGAGAATTGCCTGAACCCAGGAGGCGGAGATTGCAGTGAGCTGAGCACTCCAGCCTGGGTAACAAGAGCAAAACTCCGTCTCAAAAAAAAAAAAAAAGTTTTATATAACTCTTTGAAGAATGTCATTGGTAATTTTATATGAATCACATTGGATCTGCAAATTGTTTTGGGAATTATGGCCCTTTTGATAATATTGGTTCTTCTTATCCATGAGTATGGAATGTTTTTCCATTTGTTTGTGTCATCTCAGATTTCTTTGAGCCATGTTTTTTTCTTTTTAATTTTCCCTTGAAGAATGTGGTAAATTGTATTTTACAAAGATGTTCATGATGATATCTCTTCTCCTACATGGTATTCTCCAGTGTGATATTTTCTTAATCTTTTAAAAAATCTTTTATTTCTACAGGTTTGGTGGGGACATGTGATATGTGCTTTCCTGAGTCTCTTAATGGATATTTGTGAGATACAGGTGCACCCATCACCCAAGCAGTATACATTTAACCCAATTTGTAGTCTATTATCCCTTACCTCTTCCTCTCCCTTTCTCCACAAATTCCCAGCGTCTACTCTATCATTCTTACACCTTTGCATACTCATAGCTTAGCTCCCACTTACAAGTGAGAACATACGATGTTTCGTTTTGCATTCCTGAGTTACTTTACTTAGAATAATAGTCTCCAATCCCATCCAGGTTGCTGTTAGTGCCATTAACTCATTCCTTTTTATGGCTGAGTAGTATTTCATCATATATAGATATACTGCAGTTTTCTTATGCACTCATTGATTGATAGTTACTTAGAAAGGTTTCACATATTTGCAATTGTGAATTGTGCTTCTATAAACACACATGTACAAATATCTTTTTTGTATAATGAGTTATTTTCTGCCAGGTGGATACCCAGTGGTGAGATTGCTGGATCAAACTGTAGTTGTACTTTTAGCTCTTTAAGGCATCTACACAACGTTTTCTATAGTGGTTGTAGTAGTTTACACTCCCATCAGCAGTGTAAAAGTGTTCCCTTTCCACCTCATCCCCTCCAATATCTATTATTTTTTAATTTTTTTGATTATGGCCATTCTTGCAGGAGTCAGGTGGTATTGCATTGTGGTTTTGATTTACATTTCCCTGATCATTAGTGATGTTGAGCATTTTTTAATATGTTTGTTGGCCATCTGTATGCCTTTGCTGCACCCATCAACCCGTCATCTATGTTAGGTATTTCTCCTAATGCTATCCCTCCCCTTGCCTTTTAGCCCCTGACAGGCCCCGGTGTGTGATGTGCCCCTGCCTGTGGTCCACGTGTTCTCATTGTTCAACTCCCACTTATGAGTGAGAACATGTGGTGTTTGGTTTTCTGTTCCTGTGTTAGTTTGCTGAGAATGATGACTTCAAGCTTCATCCATGTCCCTGCAGGGCACATGGATTCATTATTTTTAATGGCTGCATACATAGTATTCCATGATTTATGTGTGTCACATTTCTCTATCCAGTTTACCATTGATGGGCATTTGGGTTGGTTCCAAGTCTTTGCTATTGTGAATACTGCTGCAATGAACTCATGTGTTCATGTGTCTTTATAGCAGAATAATTTATAATTTTTTCCCACTTGGGAAAATGGGTGAGTTGTCCATGTTCTTGGCATATTGAGCAGCTGCTTGCTCAAGTAAATGGTGTAAATCCCATTAGACCACACTGGCTGTAATGAGATTGCTGGGTCCAATGGTATTTCTGGTTCTAGATTCTTGAGGAATTGCCACACTGTCTTCCACAATGGTTAAATTAATTTACACTTCTACCAACAGTGTAAAAGCATTCCTATTTCTCCACATCCATATTGCCCAAAAATATTTAAAGATGCAATGCTATTCCTATCAAACTAGGAATGACATTCTTCACAGAATTAGAAAACAAAAAACTACTTTAAAATTCACATGGAACCAAAAAAAAAAAAAAAAAGCCAAATAACTGAGGCAATTCTAAGCAAGCAAACAAACAAACAAAGCTAGAGGCATGACATTTCCCAACTTCAAACTACACTACAAGGCTACAGTAACCAAAACAGAATGGTATGGGTATAAAAACAGACATCTAAACCAATGAAACAGGGTGGAGAGCCCAGAAATAAGGCCATATACCTACAACCATCTGATCTTCAACAAAGCTGACCAAGAAAACAATGGAAAAAAGACTCCCTATTCAAGACATGGTGCTAGAAGAACTGGCTAGCCATACGCAGAATATTGAAACTGGACCCCTTCTTTACACCATATACAAAAATCAACTCAAAATGGATTAAAGACTTCAATGTAAAACTCAAAGCTACAAATACCCTGGAATACAACCTAGGTGATACCATGCAGGACACAGGCATGAGCAAAGATTTTATAATGGAGATTTCAAAGGTAATCACAACAAAAGCAAAAAGTGACATACTGAATCTAATTAAACTAAAGAACTTCTGCACAGCAAAGGAAACTATCAACTGAGTAAACAGCCTGCAGAATGGGAGAAAATATTTTCAAACTATGTATCTGAAGAAGGTCTAATATCTGAGCATCTATAAGAAACTTCAACAACCTTACAATTAAAAAAAAAAAAACATAAAAAAGTGGGTAGAGGGCTCAGCACAGTGGGTCATGCCTATAATTGCAGCACTTTGGGCAGCCAAGGCTGGTGGATCGCTTGAGCCCAGGAATATGAGAACAGGCTGGGCAACATGGCAAAAACCCATCTCTACTAAAAATAGAAAAAATTAGCCTGGCATAGTGGCATGAGCCTGTAGTCCCAGCTACTCAGGAGGCTGAGCTGGGAGGATTACCCGAGCCCAGGAGCCAGAGGTTGCAGATGGTGCCACACTATTCCAGCCTGAGTGTCAGAGTGAGACTTGTTTTAAAACAGCAATGTAAAAAGGTGAGGAAAGGACAGGAACAGACACTTTTCAAAAGCAGACATATAGGTGGCCAAGAAGTATATTAAAATAGTTCAACATAACTGAACATTAGAGAAATGCAAATCAAAACCGCAATGAGATACCACCTTACACCAGTCAGAATGGCTCTGATTAAAAAGCCAAAAAAGGACAGATGCTGGCAAGGTTGTGAAGAAAAGGGAGCACTTACACATTGTTGGTGACAGTGTAAATTAGTTCATCCATTGTGGAAAGGAGTATGGTGATTCCTCAAAGAGATAACAGAACAACCACTCAACCCAGCAATCCCATCATTGGGTGTCTATCCAGAGGAATAGAAATCATTCTGCCATAAAGACATATGAACATAAATGTTCATTGCAACACTATGCACAATAGCAAAGACACGCAATGAACCTAAATCCCCCTTAAGGACAACCTGGATACAGAAAATGTGGTATATGTACACAATGGAATACTATGTAGTCCTAAAAAAGAATGAGATTATGCCTTTTGCAGGAACATGGATGGAGCTGGATGCCATTATTCTTAGCAAACTAATGCAGGAACAGAAAACCAAACACTGCATATACTCACTTATAAGTGAGAATAATGAAACTCATAGACACCAAGAGGGAAACAACAAATAGTGGTACCTACTTGAGGGTGGAGGGTAAAAGGTGCAATAGGAGCAAAAACATAACTATTGGGTACCATGCTTAGTACCCAGATGAAGAAATTATATGTACAGCAAACCCCATGACACAACTTTATCACCATATGTACCCCTGATCCTAAAATAACAGTTAAAAAAAATAAACAATCTCACCTTTCTCCCAGAATCTGCAGGAGAAACAGTGTTTCTGAAACTTTGATTTACTTGAACACCAAGAGAAAGGAGAGGCGGTAGCTAGAATCCAGGTGTGTGACAGTCAGATGAGAATGGCCCTCACCTGGCAGAAGCAAGCAGCTTAGTATGGGGCAGGTTCATGCAGGAACTTTCTCTACTTCTCTCCGTAGATCCTCCTGAGGATCAAGGTCAGTGCTCCCATGGAATGTTTAAAGGCAGAGAGAATAATTACCTTCTAGAGCTAACGTTGTTTCCCCCAAATCTCTCCCAAATTTTTTTTAGCCATTGTACAAAATTGGGAAAATGTACACCTTCTGGGTAGATTCTGCATAGTGGAGAAAAGGCTTGAGAGGTATAAAGGCTGGACTTCACAATCACTTCCCCTAACGCCATCATTCTTATCTATGCATCTCTCTGGTAACCCAGTCTACAGCCTGGTACCTCCCCCATGTTAATTTCTGCTGCATTACAGACACAAGTCTTGCAAACAGTTATGGTTGTGATTGAGTTTCTTCCTGACACCTTAGCTCTTCTCACACTGCAAGGAAAGTTTGCTGGGAGGAGCATGGAATCTGGAATGAAGCCAGAGGGCAAGGCTATAATGGAGCATTTAAATGTTGCAACTCAGAGAATCACTCAGAAGACTGCACACAATTAAGAAGAGACGCCGAGTCGGAGAGACCAATGTCATCTCTACCCGTGAGTTGAAAAGGCACAGCCTTCAGTAATCTCAACTCACACAAACAACAACAACAACAAAAACTGGGAGATTTTATGAGATGAAAATATAAGCATTGCTTCTGTGAATGCTTTACTGATAGCTGTGGGTGTGTGGAAGAGAAACACTGAGGCTACGGTATCCGAGATGCTTGTGGGGTGTGGGGTGTGGACCCTGGACCACTGTAACCCTCTGTGAGCATGTGATAATGTCTGATGAGAGTGAAATCTGCTGAGATGATGTGACTTTAGGTGGGAGGTGGATGGCCCACCAGGTTGAGCAGGTGTGTGTGTGTGTGTGTGTGTGTGTGTGTGTGCATTGTCTTCATGACTGTGAAGTAAGTGTGTGTGAGCACAGCCAGACCAGTGCGTGTGCATCTTTATGTGCACAGTGAGCAAGTGTGTGTGACTAAGTGAGTAGCGTGGCTGTGTGTGTCTGTGGGTGTGTGTGCTGGGATGTTACTGTGTGTTGCAGTGGAAACATGCATGTGACTTTCCGTGCATGTAAATGTTCCTCCCCACACAGCAGCACCTTTGATGAAGCAGCTGTGTGTCCTTTCATGTGTGTCAATGTGGATCCCAGGTGGCTTAACTGGTGGGGATCTTGGGGATTGTGAGTTATCGAGGACTTGTTTCGGATCACTTATGAGAGTGGAATGTATGATCAGTAGATGTCTCTTCCCAGTAAGAGTGAGGCAGAGGAATGCAGACTAGGGGGTGATGATTCCTCAGGTGGGGTCTGCACAGAATTATCACTGGCTCTTGCCTCCAAGGCTCAGCTTCCCTGCTCCCAATCCAGCCTATTCCCATCTTGGGACAGGAGGGTGTGCAGATACTGATTTGCTAGGGAAGGACATTAGAGACGGTGGTTTCAGAGACTGAATAACGCAAAATATCCACTGTAAGCTCTGTTTGAACTGAGACTAAACTTATTCCTCCATCCACGAAAGAACAAGTTTACTCTCAGGTCAGACAGAACTTATAGAGGATATTAATCAACCAAGTAGCTGCATTCCCTGGCTCATGGCTATAATCCCACCAATTTGGGAGGCAAAGATGGGAGGATAACTTGAGACCAGAAGTTTGAGACCACTCTAGGCATCACAGTGAGGCCTTTTATTTAAAAAACAAAAAACAAAAAACAAAAAAACCTTTAAATATCAACTGGCAGAGTGACAGGCACCTTTTGCCCCAGCTACTCAAGAGGGGGGCAGGTGTGTGAGCATCACTGCCACCCAGGAGTTCGCGGTTTCAGTGAGCTATGATTGCACCACTGCATGTTAGCCTGGGCGACAGAGCAAGACCCTATCTCAAAAATACAGAAAAATCACCAACCACTTGTAGTCATCGTAGAAATCAATGATTCCCTCCAATTATGTCCCTGACCCACAGGCTTCATTTGTGCAAGTCCTGGGGCTGTGCTCTCGGCAATGTTTCCCCTTCTGGGAAGGATGTCCATCGCCCTTGATGATTGTTATGTATGTGCATCCCTCACACAGGGGTTTCCTGTTCTTTCATTATTTCCGTTTCTCTTTCAACAAGTGTTTTTTACTGAAGTGAATTTTTAAATTCTTACATCCTCAAGGTTTTTTTATTTTCAGAGGTGAAAATGAAGGCAGTTGAGTGTTTCAGGAGGACTCCCTTCTTCTGTTAGGTCACCCCTAACAGGCCCTGTTAGGATTAGGGTAAAAGTATTTTACCCTGCCAAGGATTAGGGTAAAGTTTTACATATATTAACTCCTCTAGTATGGAGAACATCCTACAAAGTAGGAATTCCTGATAATCCTCCTTGTGCTGGGGAAACTGAAGCAAGAAGAGTTCAAGTAATAGATCTACGACGCACTGCTAGTAAGAGGCAGAATGAGGACCAGAATCCAGGCAGCCTGGATCCTGAACTTTTCCTCTTACTTATGGGTCCACCGTATCTTCAGGAATATGAGGCCCTGACTATGGTGGGGTGAAAGGGGGAGGCCTCAGAGTCTGCCCTTTGATCTCTAACCTCCTGTATCGTGGGAATCTGTTACAGGAGGGGAGGCTGCACCTGACTGTGCACCTCTCACTCACCCTCAATACCCTGGCAGGTGCCATACAAACTGCCTGTGTCCTTGTCTACTGGTGCCTGTGTGATTATCAAAGGGAGACCGAAACTCTCTTTTATGTGAGTACTCCATGGTCTAATGGAGGGGGTGGAGAAGGAAGAATATTTGCTAAGGGCTTGATGTTATGTGTGAGTGATGTGGAAATGTCTAGTTGGCAGGATGGAGGCTTCATGCAGGTGCAGGTCCTGGAGACCCTCCAGCACCCGGCATGAGACCTGCAGCAACTGCATGTGGGCCAGCCATGGGGCCTAGGGGAGGAGAACACTCAGGGGGTTGGGGCTGTGGCTCTTAATCAAGGGGCACTGAATTTTCAGGGAATGAACAAGTCAGGTCCGGGTCAGTGACTGGCTCAGTTTTCATCTGGGGATGAGGGGCACAGCATCCCCCTGCCGGGGGCATGAGGAGCTGAAGCATCCCCACAGGGAGCAGGCCTGCAGTATTAACAGGGAGACTTTTGCCCTGGGTAAAGGGGGGAAGGGATTTGTGTGTTGAGTGTGTGTTTGTGCAAGGGAGGGAGCTGCCCAACCTGCTGTGTGCTTTGCCCTCAGCAATGACCCACAGCTGCAGGTGGATTTCTACACTGGGACAGATGAGGACTCAGATATTGCCTTCCACTTCCGAGTGCACTTTGGCCATCGTGTGGTCATGAACAGTCTTGAGTTTGGGGTATGGAAGTTGGAAGAGAAAATACACTATGTGCCCTTTGAGGATGGCGAACCATTTGAGCTGCGCATCTACGTGCGTCACAGTGAGTACGAGGTGAGCACCCCAGGAGCTCCCAGCACCCAGACTCTGTGGGCCCCTAGAGCAGGAGGCAGCTCTCACCGACCTGGCCTCACCAGTCCCTCAGGGCCCATCTTTCATAACTGCTCCTGCCCCAGGTTTTCATCACAGAGCGCCCTCTGCTGGCACTGCCATCCTCAGCTCTTTCCCAAATCTGACCAAGGTCAAGGTCAGCCCACCTTCCATTTCTCCCAAAGTAGAGAATCTCCTCTGTCTTTTCCCATAATGCTTTTTTTCTACTTAAGCCATTAATTAAATTTTCTTTAAGCTGAATAAATACAATATACTTAAGAAAAAAGTTGTTTTAATCAGTCAAAACTTAAGCCTTCATATAACTTTTGGGCCCCAATTCTACTCATTAGAACACTACTAGAGCTCTGCACTCCTTCACAGAAAATTTTTTTTTTTTTTGAGATAGAGTCTCACTTTGTCAAGCAGGTGAGAATGCAGTGCTGTGATCTCAGCTCACTGCAACCTCCACCTCCTGGATTCAAGCGATCCTTTTGCCTTATCCTCCCAAGTGCTGGGATTACAGGTGTGTGCCACCACACCAGGCTAATTTTTGTATTTTTAGTAGAGACGGGATTTCATCATGTTGGCTAGGCTGGTCTTGAACTCCTGATCTCAAGTGATCCACCCACTTCGGCCTCCCAATATACTGGGATAACAGGCATAAGCCACTGTGCCCACCCCTTCAGAGGAAATCTTTGCCTATGGAAGCATATAGATATGTCTATGATTTCATTTGTTTTAAAGTAAATCCTGGTATAAGTTACTTTATACATTATACTTTAGAAACTAAGTTGATTGGTTGTCAAAGAATATATCTTGAAGACATTATCAACCCATGGTGGTGCTTTAGTTTTTTAAAGATGGAATAATATTGCACGAAAAAGTTTACCCAAACTTATTGAACTTTACTCAATTTGGGCATTAAAGTTGTTTCCAGCATTCTACTCTCACAAGTGATGCTGTATTAAGTTTTCTAATCAATCCTTTTGTCATTACCAACCACCCAATACTTATATTGGAAGATAATTATTAAAAAAATAAAAAAAAACTGTTGAAAAATGTGTGCATTTTAAATTTGAAAAACTAATACTAATAAGGTGACTTTCTCTATAGCTTCAGTATAAGGAATATATCCATACTTTCTGGCTTTCTCTAATGAGCAGGCCAAAAGATTCACATTTTATTCAGATTCAAGTGAGGGATCTTTTCCCGTACTTAGAAGTGGTTGAAGATAATATCCTGTTTTACAACACCTGTCCTCCTTTGACTCTCTAACAACACTGGCTTTCATTCTTTGCCACTGCCACCTCAGGTGGAGGCTACTCCAAAGAAAAACTGTGCTATCAGCAGTAAAAGGCAGTCACAGTTCATGGAAGTGAAAAGTATACATTCAGTGGTCATGGTCTAGCACTAACCCTGTGGCAGCCTCTATGCAAGATGCAGGGTCTCAAGTTCCTGGGACACAGGCTCTGGTGATGGGGATCATCCAGGCTAGAAGGGAGGCTGAGTTAACAGGGACTGTTAGACAGAGTGTAGAACTTCACTAGAGAAATGAAAGGAAGCATTAGAAATAAAGTCATCAACTGTCTCAATAGGCACAAAACATCATCTGTAAACAGAAGTGTGTCTACCACATTTACTTGTATAACTAGGAGTTTTCTTAGGAAATATTATTGGTCCTAGGGCAGAGTGAAGAATCTGAAAACTTGTTTGGTGGCATACTGTCTGATACATTTTTCCTCTTGTAGGTAAAGGTAAATGGCCAATACATTTACGGCTTTGCCCATCGACACCCGCCATCATACGTGAAGATGATTCAAGTGTGGAGAGATGTCTCCCTGACCTCAGTGTGTGTCTACAATTGAGGGAGACGATCACAATTTTCATTTTTGAGGAATCCATTTTTCTATCTGACCATGGTATTCCTAGAGCCTGTTAACAATCCCTCCTCACCCCTTCCCCTATGCTTGGTCATTAAAACAGCACAAAACCTCACATAATTTGGTTCTTGCTTAAAGAAGAAGAAAGAGGAAGTAGTCATTCCCAAAAGGGGCCAGCACATTCTATGGGAGGCATCAGGAAATCAAAGGGGATAGACCTTCCTGTGAAGAAGTGAGTGACAAGGTCCCTGGAATGTCTGAGAAGACATTAGTAACAGCATTCTTCTATAGCCCGTCATTGACATCAGACAGTCTAAACCAAAATACCCAATCTCAGAGGACTTACGGCACTGAAAGTTAGGTAGCTGTTTACAGCCATGCAGGTATACCTGGTGGCTTTGGGGAGAACCTATAACTTGAGAAAAATTATGTGGAATTTCTTAATTTTTTCCATTGTTCTCAGGATGCTTATTGTCTATGAACACTGTGCCTGGCTTTGTGAGACCTGCTGTGAAGGAAATGAAGAAAAAGATGACAAGTTTTGCATGTGAAGTTTTCAATCCAAGTAATAGTTAAGAGAATTCCTTAAAGAATCCAAATTATTCTTATTGGCAAATATTTGAAGTTTTTTTCCTCATTTTATGTGGGGAGAATCCAGGGACTTCTCTTTGGAAATAAATGAACATGGTTTTAGGGCAGAGAACATGCAGATTATTACTGGAATTGACACAATTCATGTATATGGACATAGTGAGCAGATCCTGCTTTGCTGCTATTCCAGTGATGAATTGCAGCACAACAAACCTCCTAACACATATTGGCTAAAAGCAATGATTTGTTTTGATCTCTCCCAGCTTTACAGGTTACTAAACTCGTGTGTTAGATCATGTGATGGGAGTCAAGTTTTCTGAGAGGTGTTTTAGGCTGGGATTTCAGAGAATGCTTTACTCATGTCCAACTCAACACTAGGGCTGAGTGAATACCTGAAAACAGAATGGTTATCTCCTTCACTACCTCACCATCCCATTCACTGCTTTAATTTCCTCAAATAATGAGAGCCTCACAGTTCTTGGACTTAATGAATGGTGATTGGTTTTCACCAGAGAAAGCCTTCGAAAAGGCTCATGGAGAAGGTGCACGGCATCCTAGGACCTACTTTTGAATGGCAGACAGTGTCACTTCTAGTACATTGATCAAGGTGAGTCACACAGACAGCCCTAATCAAAAGGAGAGGATGCCACAAGCTGTGGTTATTGTGACTGTAGTCATGAGGGACCATTCTTGGCAACTAGTTTCACTCAGATGCAACTCGCTTATATCCTTCCCACATACCAAAAACGCTAACCCTGTAAGGAATCTCTGAAGGCAATACAATTACAGGAACAGGCTCAGAGCGAAGTGCAGTATCTTATCTAACCAGGTTGTGGTGTCTGTAAGGTGACCGAAGAAACACATTATCACACACCTATTTTAGAGGGGCAATATAAAACAGACAGCAACCACTACTCCATATTTTTGCTGAAACCAACCAGACACCTATTTTCATTTTCTTTGGGAATGTCTGTAGCACTTGTCTTCACCCTCCATTCTCAGCTTCTTGGAGTTCCTACCAAGATAGCAGAATGACAGCTCTTTTCCCACAAGAAGAGCTGTGATTATCTGCTTCATAGCATGTAAGGAGAACCACTTAGGAGAAGAAAAACAACATATTACCTAAAAATCAATGAAGGTAGATTCTAGAGTCCCACCAAATAGACTCTTGTGTGCAAGGACCATCTCAGGTGTCATTTCAATCATTAATTTCTCTCCTCATGTTTATTGCAACAGCTTCTGCAACTCCAGCCTCACTCATGGAATGCCTCTCCCCTTACCCTTAGCATCCAGATACCTTGAGGTGCCAACACACAGTGAATGACACTCCTCATGCTCCTTTCCTTGTTTCTTTCCAGTATAGAACGTAATTCCCTCCCCTGTCACTGGAAGCTCTCGTGTTCTGATTGGGTACACTCTCCTCCTTACACCTTCCCTATCACAGTCTTGGTCACTTCTCTTTTTGATAAAGGATCATACACCCTGTCACCAGCATGGAATTCATTTTTGGGGGAATCACATAATTTGTGCTCTGAGTGGATAAAAACTATCCTGGAACCCCTGGCTTCCTGAGCAGAAAATGTCTCGGAGTTCATATTGACTTCCCATGTGCCTGGCACCCATTTTATTTGAATAACTGACAGAGTCCTAAATTCCAGCCCTGCTAGGCAAACACAGTGACTGCCCTTTCTTGAATGATATTCACCATATCAGTGCACTTCCTATGGCCCATTCATTACATTCATCTTTATTCAGCTACTACTCTGTGCTCATGGTGGCCAGAAATGACATTCCAGATACAGAGATGACATAGAGTCCAGGGTCAATATTCAACTAACAATTTTTGAATTGCCTCTGGAAACCTACTCATCTTTCTTCATCCTCCTCAATCCAAATTAATGATCTTCTCCCAGCAAACAGGGCATTGCTCAAAAAGCAGAAAGTCATTTCTGAACTCTAAAGTCTCCCCATCTCAAAGGTCTTTTGGTCTTTCCAGTTTTTGCTGAAGCCCCCAAAGAATAAGTACACTCTGTGATGTCCTTAATGCCTAGCTCCCTCAGCATTGCTAATCCTCTGGGATGCCACTTGTGATGGTCCTAAACATTGGTGTATGTGGACCTCTGTTTGCAAATAAGAGGCCAAGAAGATGGAATAAAAGAGAAATTTTTTAAATTTCCCCCAATGTATTTGCTTTTGCCATTTTTTAATTTTTATTTTTAGTTCAAGTGTACATGTGCAGGTTTGTTACACAGGTAAACCCCTTGTCACGGGTGTTAGTTGTACAGATTATTTTATTACCCACCCGGGTGCTAAGCAAAATACCCAATAGTTATTTTTTCTGCTCTTCTCCCTCCTCTTACCTTCACTTTCAAGTAGGCCTCAGTGTTTCCTTCTTTATGTGTATGAGTTCTTATCATTTAGCTCCCACTTATAAGTGAGAACATGCAGTATTTTTTTCTGATTCTGCATTAGTTTGCTAAGGATAATGGTTTCTAGCTCCATCTATGTTCCCTCAAAAGACACGACCTTGTTCTTTTTTATGGCTGCATAGTATTCCATGGCATATATGTACCACATGTTTTGTATTCAGTCCATCACTGATGACAATTTATGATGATTCCATGTCTTTGCTATTATGATTACTGCTGTAATCAACTAATATTTATACATACATATATTTCAATAATTTTGGGGATACAAGTGGTTTTTGGTTACATGCATACATTTTTTGGTGGTGATTTTTGAGACTCTGGTGCACCCACCACCTAAGCACTGTACACTGTACTCAATATGTAGCCTTCTATCCATCACTCCTCCCACCCTTCCCTGGAGTATCTGAAGCTCATTCTGTTCCAACTAACCAGCCACTCTCCAACCACTGACAATCCCTAATCTATTCTTCTTTCTCCATGATTTGCATATCCTAGACATTTCATGTAAATGAAATCATATAAAATAGCTTTTTGTGTCTGGCTTTTTTCCCCTTAAAATTAAACACATAATGTTTTTAAGGTTCATTTATGCTGTAGTATGTATCCATATTTCTGCTTCTTGTAGCTGAATAATATTCCATTTTGTGAAGATATCACATTTTGTTTATCTTTTCAGCAGTTGATGAACAATTGGGTTATTTCTAGCCTTTGACTATTGTAAATTGTGCTCCTTTTAACATTTACATACAAGTTTTTCTTTGAACACCTGTATCCAAGCCTAGAGGTGGAACTGTTAGGTCATATTTTACTTTTATGTTTAACTCATTGAAGACCCACAAAACTATTTTTCACAGAAATGGTACCATTTTACACTTTCATTGTAATCAAGTTCTAAACATTTTCTGCATTCTCATCAACACTTGTTTTTTCATTTTTAAAATTATAACCATCATAGTGGGTGTTAAGTAGTAACCTACGGCTTTTTTGTGTGTGCGTATAATTTTATTTATTAACTCTTTAATTTTTTATTTCCATAGGTTTTTGGAGAACATGTGGTATTTGGTTACATAAGTTTTTTGGGGGGTGATTTGTGAGATTTTGGTGCACCCACCACCCAAGCAGTATACACTGAACCCAGTCTGTAGTCTTTTATCCATCACCTTCTTCCTAACCTTTCTCCTTGAGTCTCCATAAGAATGATACAATGAATGTATCATTCTTACACCTTAACACCCTCATAACTTAGCTCCCACTTATAATTGAGAACATACAATTTGTGGTTTTTCATTCTTAAGTTACTTCACTTAGAATAATGATCTCCAATCCTGTCCAGGTTGCTGCAAATGCCATTTCTTTAATACATTCATTGATGGGCATTTCAGATGTTTCACATTTTTGCAACTGTGAATTGTGCTGCTATAAACGTGTGTGCAAGTATATTTTTTGTATAATGACTTCTTTTCCTCTGGGTAGATACTCAGTAGTGGGACTGCTGGACAGTTTTAATTCCTGAAGGAATCTTCACATTAGTTTACATTTCCACCAGCTGTGTAGAAGTGTTCCCTTTTCACTGTATCCATGCCAACATCTTTTTTTAAAAATAATTTTTTGATTATGGCCTTTCTTGCAGGAGTAAGGTGGTATCACATTGTGGTTTTGATTTGCATTTCCCTGATTATTATTGATGTTGAGCAGGTTTTCATATGTTTGTTGGCCATTTGTATATCTTCTTATAAGACTTGTCTGTTCATGTCCTTAACTCACTTTTTGATAGGATAGTTTGTTTTTTCCCTTGCTAATTTGTTTAAGTTCCTTGTAAATTCTGGATATTAGTCATTTGTTGGATATACAGATTGTGAAGATTTTCTCCTATTCAGTGGGGTGTCTGTTTACTCTTCTGGCTGTTAATGCCTTGAGACTTCCTTGCCTCTGACTTAGCTTCCTGATTAGCTAATTTATATCCTTTGGCTA